AACACCCAGTGGTAAACAATGTTGAACATCCAGAGCTAAACAATGTTAAACACTCAGAGTTGAACAATGTTGAACACGCAGAATTGAACAACGCTGAAGACACATGAGAGGTATGTACGGTCGGTTGATTGTAAACAGGAAAGTACCGCCAGTACAGTGTGGGGAGTCACGACAGTACACAGTGGTATACCTGGAGGCGGGAAGGTGTTTCGGGGGTCAACGCCCCCAAGGCCCGGTCCATGACTAGCTAGGAAGTTTGGAAATTTAATGAACGCATTAACTGTTCAAATCCTTCAGTGTTTCTGGCAATAAATACAACACAAGAAAGATAAAATTAATAAAGACAACAAAACTTCCAGCATGAATAAAACACAACACAAATACTGCCAACCCAGCTTAAAATAACCAGCATTAGTTAAGAGAGTCCAATGAAATGTTAATGTCAAAAGACTCTCCTGAAAGTTCCCAGAGGTCCCTCCAGGCACCTCGGTAATTACAAAAACCAAGACGAATACGAAATGACCTAAGCCATAGATAAAAAGCTGAACGCGTTGCACAGATCTCTGCAATCTGTACACTATGGTCATTACGCCTGCATGCCACTTGTTCACTACCGGTCAAGAATGTGATAATCCCTAAATTAGGGAATAAGTCTTAACACATACACACACACACACACACTCACACGCACACATTATATATATATATATATATATATATATATATATATATATATATATATATATATATATATATATATATATATATATATATATATATATATATATATATATATATATATATATATATATATATATATATATATATATATATATATATATATATAATGCCGTGCCGAATATGTAAAACTGGTCAATTAGCAAGAACTCATTTAAAATTAAGTCCTTTCTAAAATTTTCTCTTATAAGTTTAAAGATATATATTTTTTTGATTAATGTTAATGTAAAAATTTTTAATTATGCACCAAAAGGAACTTAGAAAACTTACCTAACCTTATTATAACAAGAACAATTTATTTTAGCCTAACCCAACTAAGTATATTTGTTTACAATAATTTAATACTAAACAAACACTGTGAAATATATTTTTTTCGTTAGATTCAGAATGATTTTGGCGAAATTATTGCATACACAAATTTTCGCTTGTCCTATATGGCAAGATGAGCGTTGCTATTTAAGCCAAGATCGCAAGTTCTGCCTATTCGGCACGACATTATATATATATAAATATATATATATATATATATATATATATATATATATATATATATATATATATATATATATATATATATGCAATAAGATCACAGTAAACAGGTGATTTTCGAATATGCAAAACAACCACTCTGAAAGAATAGAGAAATTCCAAGCGCTTTCGTGACTACTCACATTATCAAGGAACTATGAAAGTAAAGCATCCAAGGAAGGTATATAAGGGGTCTGGCCAACACCTCACTATCAGATCCCACAACGGTTAAACACCTGACGCGCGGCGGCCCAACTGGACAGGTCCTTTGCACAACCCACCAACAAACTATTCTACCCAAGAAAATTTAAAAAAATATTATTCGTCCAGTGTATTATTAAATTCTTCCCAAATTCTATTAATTATAAATGGATCTAATTTATATAAACCAAAGGAAATATTCATATTATTGTCAAAACTGCTTTTTATGAAACAAGATTCAATTATATTCCTGTCGACCATGGACTTGCTTGATACTACTTTCTCAACATTTTGAAAATCAATTGGATGGTTAAAATATCTTACATGAATAAATAGAGCATTGGAATCTTGTCCAGTTCTAATGCTATATTTATGTTGTTTTAATCTTAGTTCGAGATTTTTACCAGTTTGACCGTAATAAACTTATCACAAATTTTACAAGGAATCTTATAGACACATCCATCAGCATTTTGGGGGGAATTCTTTATCAAAATTTTTTTTACTGTATCAAGATTTTTGAATACAACTTTAATATTAAAAGTCTTAAGAAGAGAAGGCATATCAACCAAGTTTTCATGGTAAGGGAGAACCAACATATTTTTAGTTGAATAAGGCTGGTTGTCCCTTTTTGGATTGTAAAAAGTATTTCTAGCAACTTTAAAAGATTTATCAATTACATTTCTTGGGTATTTTAAATCATTACCTATTTCATAAATTTTGGATATTTACTCATCTATGAACTCAGGACTACAAATTCGTAAAGCTCTCAAAAACACTGATGAGAAAACAGACAGTTTGACTCTATCTTGATGCGAAGAATAATAGTGGACATAAGAACAGTTATTTGTAGGTTTTCTGTAAATTTTAAATTTGAATTCATTATTACCCTTAATAATTAAAACATCTAGAAAAGGCAATGAGTTATTTTCTTCAAACTCAACAGTAAAGTTTATAGAATGGGCTAAGCTATTTAATTTTCCAAGGAAATGGTGTATATCTACATTTTTGGGCGTAAGACACAAAATATCATCAACATATCTGAACCATTTAGCTCTATTAGGGAGGATTGTGTTAAGCAACCTTGTTTCAAAAAATTCCATGTATAGGCTACTAAGAACAGGTGAAAGAGGATTTCCCATTGCCATACCAAACTTCTGAGTGTAAAACTTATCATTAAATACAAATTTTGCATCAACAATGCAAAGTTTAATAAGTTTAATGATAGTAGGAACTGGCAATGGTAAATCATAGTTAACAAGTTCTTCAGATAAGAAACTTAATAAATCATCAACAGGAACTTTCGTAAACAAGGAAGTAACATCAAAACTAACCATGTTAAAATCATTTAAGTCAGTCAAGGAGCTTAATTTATCAACTAAGTCTATGCTGTGATAGTGAGATGTTGGCCAGACCCCTTATATACCTTCCTTGGATGCTTTACTTTCATAGTTCCTTGATAATGTGAGTAGTCACGAAAGCGCTTGGAATTTCTCTATTCTTTCAGAGTGGTTGTTTTGCATATATATATAATGTGTCGAATATGTAAAACTGGTCAATTAGCAAGAACTCATTTAAAATCAAGTCTTTTCTAAAAATTTCTCTTATACGTTTAAAGATATTTCTTTTCATTAATGTTAATGTAAAAAATTTTAATTTTGCACCAAAAGGATCTTAGAAAACTTACCTAACCTTATTATAACAAGAGCAATTTATTTTAGCCTAACCCAAGTAAATATGTTTTAAATACGTTTACAATAATTTAGTACTAAACAAACAATCAAATATATTTTTTTTCGTTAGGTTCAGAATGATTTTGGCGAAATTATTGCATACACAAATTTTCACTTGTCTTATGTGGCAAGATGAGCGTTGCTATTTAAGCCAAGATCGCAAGTTCTGCCTATTCGGCACGGCATATATATATATATATATATATATATATATATATATATATATATATATATATATATATATATATATATATATATATATATATATATGGACAGATAGATATCGTGACTAGGGGGGACGGTAGGGTAAAGCAGGAGCACCCGCAAACAGGTGGCTATGGGTTTGAGAATGTGTACTCGCCTATATGTATTCATCTATATATGGCTGGAGGGGGTCGAGTCGCAGCTCCTGGCCCCGCCTCTTTACTGGTCGCTACAAGGTCTACTCTCTCTCCCGGCTCCAAGAGCCTTGTCGTACCTCTTCTTAAAGCTATGTATGGATTCTGCCTCTACTACTTCATTCTCCAGATTGTCCCACTTCTTAACAGCTCTAAGGATGAAGAAATACTTTCTATCACCTCTGTGACTCGTCTGAATGTTCAGCTTCCAGTTGTGTCCCCTTGTTGGCGCGTGCGTGCGTGTGGTGTGTGGTGTGTGGTGTGGTGTGGTGTGTGTGTGTGTGTGTGTGTGTGTGTGTGTGTGTGTGTGTGTGTGTGTGTGTGTGTGTGTGTGTGTGTGTGTGTGTGTTATTTTCAAGTGACGACTCATGTTGGAGGTGCTGTTATCTTTCTGATGTACATGTGACCAGTGTTGAGTGGTTTCCGTTACTCTCACAGCTGGACCTGGAGCCAGCCCTAACACGTCTTGCTAAATCCTGTGTAACTGGCTCTTCGTCTCTAGGGTCCACTAGGCCGGCACCCTTCCCAAGGATATATCTGTATGTGTCCATGAGGGCACTGTACGGATAAAATCTGCCATAGACAGAGGCTGTTTTAAAGCCTGAGTTACCCTGTTATCTACATGGCGAAGAAGTCAGGAAGTTAAATTACACAGTGAGGGAAGACACGACAGTACATGGTGAGGGAAGACACGACTGTACATGGTGAGGGAAGACACGACAGTACATGGTGAGGGAAGACACGACAGTACATGGTGAGGGAAGACACGACAGTACATGATGAGGGAAGACACGACAGTACATGGTGAGGGAAGACACGACAGTACATGGTGAGGGAAGACACGACAGTACATGGTGAGGGAAGACACGACAGTACATGGTGAGGGAAGACACGACAGTACATGGTGAGGGAAGACACGACAGTACATGGTGAGGGAAGACACGACAGTACATGGTGAGGGAAGACACGACAGTACATGGTGAGGGAAGACACGACTACATGGTGAGGGAAGACACGACAGTACATGGTGAGGGAAGACACGACAGTACATGGTGAGGGGAATCATGGTAGTACACAGTGAAGTCACGAAAGTACAAAGTGAGGGAAGTCTTGACGGTACACAGTATGGAAAATCGCAACAGTACACAGTATGGAAATTCGCAACAGTACACAGTATGGGAAGTCACGACTGTACAGAATAAGAGAAGTCACAACAGTACACAGTATGGGAAGTCACAACAGTACACAGTATGGAAAGTCACGACAGTATAGAGTGAGAGAAGTCATGACAGTAGACAGTAAGAGTAGGGATGACAATAGAGGCAGTAAACACTGAGAAGTTTCGATAGTACCAAGTAGTGGTGACATTACCGGCAGTACATAGTAAGGATATGGACGACAGTACCGGCAGTAGTGTGAGGGGTAGCGACGGTGTAGGGAAGTGCAGGTGGTGGAGGTACTGTCTGGTCCACTTCCTCACACACACACATACACACACACACACGTCTTGCCACTGTGGTGTCTACCACCACACTGCTGCTTTCTGCAGCCCCTCCTAGTGCCACCCATCCTGCCGCCCTTTCTGCGCCACCCATCCTGCCACCTGTCCCTGCCACCCATTCTCACGCCGCCCCTCCCAGTGTCACCCATTCTGCTGCCTCTCTTGAGACCCATTTTAACTGTCCATCCTCTTACCACTAAATCTGCCCTCCCCTTCAACACAATTCTAAACCAGCGTTGAAGATTTGATGTCACTTAGAACATTGACAGGCTATCGCCTGGGAACTAAGGGAGCTAATATCCAATTTCCTAAAAAAAAGGCACCTATTACAACGCAAAACCATTCTGAACTTTCTTTTAAGTAAGATACACGAAAGGTGTAAGATTGAAGCCGATCAGAAGAGGCTGTATCATGATACAGCACAGAAATTAAAATAAATATATGATATATATAAAATTACCTATAGCGACACACAATTTTTTCCCAAGTTACAGTACACTAGCGGTAGAAGTTTGAAGCCGATCGATAGAGCGCTCTCAAGTTATGAATTAAAACCCTGAAAGAAGAAAAAAATGTCAAGCAGTTTTAAGATACCCCTACATGGATACTGTATTGTGTGTGGAGAAGCGTTAAGAGATGCGTGAGTTTCCCTGTCTCCTAAAGTTTATTTTTCCCCACTATAATCTACCTTGTCCATAATTATTATCGCATTTGCTTTGTATGCTTTCGTAAGGCGAAGTCCAGGATCTTTTCTTAATTCATGGTATAACTTAACAAATCTTTGAGGACAACTGTGTTGCAGAAGTCTGAGCGACGCTCAGCATCACCAAAGATGGTACATCAGAGATACCATCAGGTATCTATGATATACCATCAGAGATACCTTATGATATATACATGAGACACTCTTTGAAGGCCTAGTCTCAAACCTACATACTGCCGGAGTGATAGACATGGGAGGAAGTGTAAAACAGACCTGGTGAAAAGCATGCGAGCCAGAAGGCCGCCAACAGCAACAGCATGGTTGAACAAATAACACAAAAGCCTACCTTCAGGAAGGGCTCCGAGGGTATTATTATTATTATAAAGGAACGCTAAACCCGTAGGATTATACAGCGCTTGTGGTGGTGGTGGTGGGGGGGGGGAGACTGAAAGCATTCAAGCTCAATTCTGGGAACTGGAGCACAGATCTAATTCCCCAGAGCTCCGAGGGTAGAAAAGTTCTCGAAACCATTCACAAGGATATACCAGACCACCACCACTACCATGACCACCACCACCACAACCATGACCACCACCACCATTACCATGACCATCACCACCACTACCATGACCACCACCACTACAATGACCACCACCACTACAATGACCACCACCACTACCATGACCACCACCACTAACATGACCACCATCACTACCATGACCACCACCACTACCATGACCACCACCATCACTACCATGACCACCACCACCACTACCATGACCACCACCCACCACTATCATGACCACCACCACCACTACCATGACCACCACCATCACCTCCACCACTACCATGACCACCACCACCACTACCATGACCACCACCACCACTACCATGACCACCACCACCACTACCATGACCACCACCACCACTACCATGACCACCACCATCACTACCATTGACCACCACCACCACATACCATGACCATCACCACCATGACCACCACCAATACCATGGCCACCACCACCACCACTACCATGACCACCACCACCACCACTACCATGACCTCCACCACCGCTACCATGACCACCACCATCACTACCATGACCACCACCACCATTACCATGACCACCACCACCACCACTACCATGACCACCACCACCACTACCATGACCACCACCACTACCATGACCACCAACCACTAACATGACCATCACTACCATGACCACCACCACTACCATGACCACCACCACTAACATGACCACCATCACTACCATGACCACCACCACCATACCATGACCACCATCACTACCATCACCACCACCACCACTACCATGACCACCACTACCATGACCAACCACCACTACCATGACCACCATCACTACCATGATCACCACTACCATGACCACCACCACTACCATGACCACCACCACCACTACAATGACCACCACCACTACCATGACCACCACCACCACAATGACCACCACCACCACTACCATGACCACCACACCACTACCATGACCACCACCACCACTACCATCACCTCCACCACCACTGCCATCACCTCCACAACCACACCATCAACGCCACCAGCAATAACAACAACGCCACACCACCATCACCTCCACAACCACACCGTCAACGCCACCAGCAATAACACCAACGCCACACCACCATCACCTCCACAACCACACCATCAACGCCACCAGCAATAACACCAACGACACACCACCATCCCTCCACAACCACACCATCAACGCCATCAGCAATAGCACAACACGCCACACCACCATCTTTACAACCACAACTACCATGACCCTTACCACCACCATCACCACCACCATGACCATCACCACCACTACCATCACCACCACTACCATCACCTCCACAACCACACCATCAACGCCACCAGCAATAGCACTAACGCCACACCACCATCTTTATCATCACTACCACCATAACCATCACCACCACCACCATGACCATCACCACCACCACTACCATCACCACCATCACCTCCACAACCACACCATCAATGCCATCAGCAATAGCACCAACGCCACACCACCATCTTTACCACCATAACCACCCTGACCATCACCACTACCATCACCACAACCATGACCATCACCACCATTACCATCACCACCATCACCTCCATAACCACACCATCAACGCCACCAGCAATAGCGCTAACGCCACACCACCATCTTTACCATCACCACCACCATGCCCATCACCACTACCATCACCACCACCATGACCATCACCACCACTGCCATCACCACCACTGCCATCACCTCCACAACCACACCACCAACGCCATCAGCAATAGCACCAACGCCACAACCCCCATTTTTTCCACCATAACCACCGGGAAAATTACCACCCCCCAACCTTACCATCCCCACCACCCAACCATCCCCAAACCACCCCAAACCCAACAACCCCCCCCCCCCCACCTCCACCCCCACCCATCACAAACCCCCCACCCCATGACCAACACCCCCAATCCCACCAGCCACCCATCCCCCAAAAAAAAGTGAAGGCACCAAGAAAAATTTTCCCCTTGGTGTTAATAACCACCATGGGTGACCACCAAACCCTACCCCACCCCCCAAAAAAATCTCCGACACCCCCTTTTACCACCCAACCCAAGCCCCCAGGGAGGGGAAAAAAAAAATTCCGTTTTGTTTTGAAAACCCAGGAAGGGGGAAAACTGGGAAAAACTCCCAAAAAAAAAATTTTCCTGTTAATTAAAGGGGCCCCCAAAGGAAGGATCCCCTTTTTAAAAGAAAAAAAAAAAAGTTGTCATTAAAAAAAGGTTGAAAGGGTTAAAAGAAAAATAAATTTTTGGGAACAAAATTTTCCCTTTAAATTTAAGGGTTCGGGATATAAAAATGTTTTTTTTAAATGGTGTTTTTTTTAATAAAATTTATTTGGGTGGGTCCCCCCAAAAATTGTAAGGGGGGAGAAATTTAAATTTTGGCCCCTTTAAATTTGCTTTAAAGGGTGGGTTCCTTTGGGGTTTTGAATGTTTAAGGTTTTTGTACCAAAAAAAGGAAAACCCTTTTTCAAAATATTTTTTTAAAAAATCCCCCCCAATTTTCCAAAAAAATTTCCCCCCCTGGGGAATCCAAACCCCCCCCCCCCCCCCCCCCATTTAATTTTTGGAAAATTGAAAAATAAACATGGAAAATTTAATTTTTTATAAATTTTATGGGTTATTTTCCTTTTAAATTATTATATTTAGGGTTTTCCAAAAAATTATTTTTTAAAATAATGGTTTTAACATGCTCATTTTTACCTTTTAAAATTTTCCCTTTAATTTTAAAAATTTTTTTTTTAATGTTAATTTTAAAAAAATTTTAAATTTACAAAAAAATTTTTGAAAAATTTTTTTGGGGCTTTTTAAATTTTTTTTTTAAAGAAAAATTTTTTTGCCAAATTTAAAATTTAAAATAAAATTTTTTTTTTAGTTTTGTTTTTTTAATTTTTTTTTAAAAAAAGGGGGGGAAGGTTGGTTTTTTTTTTTTGGGTTTTTGGAAAAATTTTGGGGGTTTTTTATTGAATTCCCAAAATTTTAAGTTGTTTTGGCAAGTTGGGGTTTTTGGGGTTTTGGGAAAAGGGATTGAAGTTTTTTGGTTTTGGGAAAAAAAACCCCAAAAAAAATTAATATTATTTGTTAATTATTTATTTTATTTTAAATTAAAATTAATATTAATAAAATATAAAATATAAATATATAAATATATTTTGTTTTTTTTTTTTTTTGGGGTATTTTTTTTTTTTTTTTTTTTTTTTAAATTTTATTATTATTTTTTATCGTATTTTTTTTTTTTTTATTTATTTTTTTTTTTTTTTACTTTTTTTTAATTTCTTTCTTTTTTTTTTTACTTTTTTATTTTTATTTTTTTTTTTTTTTTTTTTTATTATTTTTTTTTTTGTTTTTTTTTTTATTATTTTAATTTTTGTTTTTTAAATTATATATATTTATAAAATTTAAAATTATTATAAATTATATATATATATAATATTTTATATTTTATATTATTTTTATAAAATTAAATTTTAATATATTATATTTAAATATTTATATTATATTTTTTATTATATATAATATATATATTATTTTTATATATATATTAATTTTTATATTTTTTATATAAAATTAAAATATTTTATATATAATAAAATACTTTTTCATATATATATATATTATAATTTAATAAATTTTTATATTTATTTTATATTTTATAAAATATATTTTTTAATATTTATATAAATATATTATTTTATATATATTATATT